AACTTAAACCGGCCAGCAAGATAGCTCAGCAGACTAAGCACCTGCTTAGGCAAACACAGGGACTAGGGTTTGAACCTGGCACTACAGGCTGCCCTGGCCCCTCCCCCTCGGCATGCTGAGCCAGTCACAGTCTGGGCATGGTGACCCATGCCTGTAATCCCAGCAATACAGAGGCTGAAAACAGGAGGATCACTATGAGTCCAAGCTGCATAGTGAGACCCTGTACCAAATACATAAAAACAAAAACTTAAAGGTATCAGAGAAGTTCTGGATTTGAAGTACAGGCTTCTATCTGGAACTCTGTGATATAAGCCAAGGCTAAGAGAACTGTAGAAGACTCGTGCTAGGGATTGCTTCTAGTCACTGGGAAAGGCCACAGGGACTCTTCACAATGACTTCTGGAATCCACAGGGATTAGAAGACATTTATCTAGCAGGCTCTGTCTTAAAACTCCATGTTCACCCTCCGAAAGAATTAAATCTAGGGGGCTGGTGAGATGGCTCAGTGGTCTAAAGCACCTACTTGGAACAAGCTTAGCAAAGCACAGGGACCATGGTTCAATCCCCCAGCACCACATGCCAGCCAGCCCTGCCCCCTGGTGGGCTGAGCTGGCCACACACACACACACACACACACACACACACACACACACAAATAGATAAAAATTAAAAAAAAAAAAGAATTAAATCTAGTTACTCTGAGGGCTGGATTTTGTGTTCTGACTTCTGAGGACTGCCCAATAGGTACAGAAACTACTACATGAAATCTTCCTTACATAGTAAGACTTGAAATTCAAATGACTAAATGAGGAACAGTAAAGCAGACGTGTCAAGGGGCAAGTCTGAATGACAAGTCATTCTGGCTTGCTGTAGAAAACAGAAATGAATAGGTGAGCACTTGTGAGCACATTCCCAATCTTCCCAAGCCTGGCTTGTCAGGTTTTCCCCCATTCCATCATCACCATCACCATCACCATCACCATCACCATCACCATCACCATCACCATCACCATCATCAATGTAGTTAGTCTACAGGGTTTCACTACATAGATCGGACTCGTAGTGATCCTCCTGCTTTCAGCCTCCCAAGCGCTGGGATTACAGGTGTGCACCACCACATCCAGTCTCAATGCCCTGGGGGCAGGGCCAGCAAGGCATGTGGGAGATTGAACCCTGGTCACTGTGCCTGCCTAAGCAGGCGCTTTAGTCTGTTGAGCTATCTGGCCAGTTCCCCTGCTATTCTTTATTAACTGCTTCTAGACAAAACAGACTGTAAGACTGCTATTTTCCATGTGTCCCCCCTTTCCATAAATGCACATCTTTCTTCAAGAATCTATAGCACTCTAGAAGAAAGGGTGACAGTCAAGACATGCTCAGTGGACTAAGTGCCTGCTTAGACAAGGACGGGGGTTCCATCCTTGGCACCAGAGGCCACACTGGCCCCACCCCCAGGCACACTGAGCTGCCACAAGATGGGGCATGATGGCACACACCTGTAATCCTCGTGCTGGGGAGGCTGAAAACAGGAGGATCACTATGAGTGCAAGCTGTGTAGTGAGACTCTGTACCAAATACATTAAAAAAATAAAAAGACATGCACCCAATATACCAAGCAGCAACTGTATACATGATGCTCTAGGTCACACAAATCCTTTGTCTCCACAACTCAAACTCTACCATTTGACTTGTTTTCCATGCAGCCTTTAAGTCCCATATATCCCAACTCCTATGACAAAAGAACACTAGAACTACTTCTTCTATTATATACTAGATTTCATTTTTGTAGCCTGAGTAGAGAAGGACCTCTTTTTTTTTTTCTTAAATGCTTTCACTTTATTTATTTATTTATTTTGGTAGAAATGGGGATTGAACTCAGGTCCTTGAGCTTGCCAGGCAAGTGCTTATTCTACAGAGCCATCTCCCCAGCCCTGAGAAGGACCATTTTTGATGTGGGCCACAGGTCTGCCCATCTTCTCCTATCAGGAAAAGTCTGGGAAATTTGTAGGCCTGGATTTGTTCACTCTACACAAAAAGTAACTTGCATTTAATTTCTAGTGTATATTTTCTTTCTCTTGTACGCTAGTGTCAAATCATTCTCTATCTTTCTAGGGGTGCTCTACAACTGAGCTACATCCTTAGTTCTTTTATTCTGAGACAGGGTCTTACTGCGTTACTCAGGCATGATTTAAACTTGGGAGCCTCCTGTCTCAGCCTCCAAAGTGCTGGGATTTCAGGCATGTACCACAGCGCCAAGCTGTAGAACTTACTGTATTGGTAAAATGTGTTCTTATCTGAATTGACAGCTTTTCATGGATTTATCTGAATGTATGCACACAGCTGTACTAAAACACAGAAACAGTCCAAACATGGAAAAGCATACACTGTACAGATACGCCACTGGCCCTTCATATGTGTGGGTTTTGCATCTATGGTTTCAATTAACAGTTGAGTGAAAATATTAAAAAAAAAAAAAAAAAAAAAAGCAGCCAAACATGGTGGCTAAGACCTGTAATACCCCGAAGGCTAAGGCAGAAGAACTGCACGTTAAGATGCTATCTTAATAATAATAATAATAATAATAATAATAATAATAATAATAGCAGAATAGCAGCCTGGGCTGGCAAGACAGCTCAGTGAACTGAAGCATTTGCTTAGGCAAGTGCAGAAACCACAGTTAAATCCCCAGCACCATATCAGGCACCAGACCTACCCCCAGGGCAGGCTGAGCTGGCCAATGGCTGGGCGTAGTGGTGCAGGCCTGTAATCCCAGTGATGGGAGGCTGAGAGCAGGAGGATCACCATGAGTCCAAGCTGCATAATGAGACACTGTAATAACCAAATACATTAAAAAAAAAAAAAAAAAAAAAAAGGCCCTGGAGAGGTAGCTCAATGAAAAAGCCCTGGGTTCAATCCCCAGTAACAAACCTACTCAAAAGAAAAACAATCTGTACCTTAACATTCTCTATACAATACAGTATAATAATCATTTACACAGCATTTACATTACAGTATGTCTTACTAGATATAAGTAACATAGAAATGATTTTAAGTATACAGGAGGGGGTTGGGAAAAAGCTCAGTGGTCTAAGCATGTGACTGGCAAGCACAAGGACCTGGGTTTGATCCCTGGTACCACATACTGTACTGGCCCCAAAACTGTGCCTGATGGCACATGCTTGTAATCCCAGCATTGGGGATGCTGAGACAGGAAGATCACTATACTGAGATCCTGTATCAAATAAATAAATAAAAGACGTTTTAAAATAATAAAATACCCAGCATGCTTGGGGCACAGTGAGACAGTGACTGAGACTGGGCGTGGTGGCATGCGCCTAAAATCCCAGCTCTTTGGGAGGCTGAACACAGGCAGATCACTATGAGTCTGATCTAAGTAGTGAGACCCTATAGACCCTCACTAAAAATATAAAAAAATAAATAAAATAAAATAGGGGGGGCCGGGGAGATGGCTCAGTGGAATAAGTGCTTCCTTGGCAAGTGCAAGGGCCCTAGTTCTAATCCCCGGTTCTGCCAAAAAAAATAAAAATAAAAAATAAAGTATACAGGAGGAATGAGGCATAGTGGTACAGGCCAGAATTCCAGCATCTGGGGATGGCAGTGGTGAGATATGAGGATTACAAGTTCAAGACCAGCCTGGGCAATTTAGCAAGATCCTGCTTCAAATTAAAAAAAATAAGAAAAGGCCAGGGATGAAGCTCAGTGCAAAAGCCCTGGATTCTATACCTGGTATCACCAAAAAAGAAAAAAAAAAAACAAAGTATATGAGAGATAGGTTATAAACACTGTGCCATTTTATAGGAGATGTACGGATTCTCAGATTTTCGTGTCTATAGGAGATGGGACTATGGTGTCCTGGAACCAATCACTGTGGATGTTGAAAGACTACTGTTTTTAAGATTATAATATAATCAGACATCATTTTCCTAAATTCCACCAGATCACCTTGAAGGCTTCAACTGATTTCAAAGGAGTTTTTCATTACAAGTCTTGGTCCCTATTCTTTGGCCCTAGAGTGACAGCTTAATCTGTTTCTTTATGGGAACAGTGTCTGCTTAGAATGATTCCTCTAGGGCTGGAGAGATGGCTCAGTGGTCTAAAGCACCTACTTGGAACAAGCTT